TGAGTTTAAATTTTCTCTTCAACTTAATTTTTTAAATTCAAACTCAAGTTAATGAACAGTATTTTTTTATTCTTAAAAACGTTATAACTTTTTCGTTTTAATTCTGATTGAGATGATTTTTTTTCTATGTGTTCACAATGAAAAGACGAATAAAGTCTCATCCATATATTCTATTAAAATTTTTTATCACCATTAAATTTTTATTAAAATACTATCTAAACACAAATTCAAGTTTTGACCCACCTAAACACAAACTCAAATAGATTCTCAATTCAAACCATAACTCAAATATGCACATCTAAACACAAACTCAAGTTATAACTTCAACTCAAATTATATATATATATATATATATATATAGTTTTGAGACGTTTCCTCCCTCTCTCTCGTTCTTCCTTTTTTTTATTTGTATTATGTATTATGGCCAAACCTCATTGGCCAAAATAAAATAAAATAAATTTTCTAGATGAGAAACGTGGAGAGATATAAGAGTGTGAGAAAAATTTCTTTCTTTCCGTAAAAGTGATTAGATTCATCCATATTAATTTAAAATAATTTTAAAATAATTTCAATATTAATTAATCAAATTAATTAATATATGTGTATTTAAAATTCTTAATTTTAAATTAATAATCATAATCTAATATGATATGTATAGTTTACATTAATTTTATGGAGCCGTTGACATGAACTATGGATATTAAAATTTTAAGATCCAATAATTTTGACAATTAATTAACACCTTAATTAATATATTTCAAAATTACTTCAATATAAATTTGGAATTGCACTCTTAAAATTATAAAACAATTATGTTCACGGAATTTGTGTTGTCCATTGATATAGTCACTACATACGAATTAATCCTCCATAAATGGTTTATAATTAAAGTTAGGTATTTTCTATTGACCTCTTTAATTATAACTTTCTTCATAAGTACTATTGATCCTCTAAAAAATAATATATTTTATGATTCAATCATAAAATTAAGCGTTCTAATTATTCAAGTCCCGAATCAATACTTATAAGAACCATCCATTTATTTCATTATGAATGAATGGATTTCATATTGTAACTTAATATTCCTGGCTATTTATTTACTATGCTCCCAATATACCAAAACTTTGACACTATTCATATGTGTCTTTACTCAATATGTCAAAGAACATAATATCATAAATACGAGTCTATTAATTACTCATAATTAAGATTAATTCATATATGACTATCATTGATAAATATTGAATACTCTATTTAATAACGAAATTTATTAGAGATTCATAATTAATCGCGTTCCAGTCCTATGTAATCATATTATATAAAATGTTTTCATTCCAATAATCTCATTATTAACAATCTAGGATAAGATTGTTTCATTCAAAATGTAATGAACCGCATTAGTAATTTTAAATTAAAGATCCCAACTTTAAAATTCATAATTACAAATAAGTTTAGATTATTTTACTTTAATTATTAACCTCTGCATATAACACTTATATACAATGTTTTAAGTTACATCTAAAATAATCTAGAGATTTTGATATTTATAAAACATTAAATGTATGTAAAATAATATTAAAAAAATTTCTTATTTCATTAATAATCAGTAAAATATACCCCAATAAAAAACTTTTAAAAAATATTATGTCTAATTTTTTCTGCTGTTACAATTAAAATCTCTCAGAAAATATTATATCTCAACTCAAATTTAAAATTTAAAATTACCAAGCGAACGAAGTCAAAATGTTAATTTGTTATTCAAAAGTTTGTAATTTGTTTGACCAGCTCTTGATCTCAAAGCTAAAGATCCGTGTGGTCGAAGACTCCACTAGGACAATGATGGAAAGAATAGTAATTTGTTTTTTCTTTTTTGTTCTAATTTTCGGTCCTGTAGCATTTGTATCTTTTTATCGACTTTTCTGGTTTTTCTTATAATTAGTATTAGATGTAAACTTTTTCTTTCTTTCTTTTGCTTGGCAGGTGATAAAATTGACTACTGCGATTACATAAATGTCTTTGAGCTCGAGTTAATGGATATTGCCTCCTAGTTGTTTTTTGAAAACATTTCAGATTTTAACTAAGCGTGGACTATTCAAATGCCTAATGATTTTAACATTTCATAATGTCTAATGATTTGTTTTTGCTCTTTTTTCCCCTTTGACTCTTGAGTATAATTTTCATAATCTGTGCATATTATAAGTTTATTATAATTTTTCTGATTAGTTATTGTTTATAAAATATAATTTGGTAAATTATGATCTATAATTTGTCAAACTATGGATCATAATCTCACAAACTATGCCAGGTAACCGCCATAACTTGTCAAATTATGAATCATAGTCTGGCAGACTATGACCTGTGTTGGTGACTGGAGACCGACAGTCGGCGTTATCTGTCAAACTATGGATCATAGTCTGTCAAACTATGGGTCATAGTTTGACAAACTATAGATCAATAATATGATGTGGCAGACTAAAGATCATAGTCATCATAGTCTTACAGATTATGGTGCATAATCATCCTAGTTAGTCAGACTATGGGTCATAGTATGACATATTGTAGGTCATAGCCTGACAGATTATGACCGGTTGGCGGTGGGAGACTTGACGGCCGGCGTAATTTGTCAAACTATAGGTCATAATTTGACAAAATATGGGTCATAGTCAGACAAAATATGGGTCATAGTCTGGCAAACTATGACCGGTTGGAGACCCACTAACCGACGTAACCTGTCAGACTATGGGTTATAGTCTGATAAATTATGGGTCATAGTATGGCATACTATAAGTCATAACCGGACAGACTATGACTGACTGGAAACCCACTGGTCGACGTAACTTTTCATACTATAGGTCATAGTCTGGTAGACTATAGGTTATAGTGTGTCAGACTATAACCGTTACCGAAAACCCGCCAGACGACTGCCGGAGACCGCCAATTGGTTGCCGGATGGCCGTCAGAGACCGTCAATCGAAGGCAGCCAGCATCTGATAAATTGTCTGTGTACCTTTAAGAGTATTTCAGTAATCTATATATTAGGCATTTGATTGGGTTTAGCCTGAAGGGTAGGCGCAATTACACTACGTGGCAAAACAATGTTCTTTTATCCAAAAAACTCAAAAAAAGACAACTCAAGTTTCAACTTTATTCAAGTTCACGTTCTTTTAAGTTTCAACTTTATTCAATTTTACTCAACTTTATTTAAGTTCTAACTTCAACTCAAGTTATAACTCAAATTCAACTCAAAAACTACACTCAAATTACACTCCAAAAGAACAACCCGTTTATAACTTGAGTTGAAATTTAACAAATTTTTTAGAATATTATAAATATAGCAAAAATACATAATTATTACCATAATAATATCACATTTTATATTATACAATGATATAGTCATTATTTTAATGATATAAAATATTATTATTCTTATAATATTTTAAAAGTTTTACTATATTTAAACTCGATCATTAAAATTTTACTATATGCCTAAAGAGCCCTAATAATAATTAGGTAGGTGATTCATTGTAAAAATCATTTTTTTTTTTGGGTCTGTGAATATTTTCGTTCCCTCCGCACAAAGGGATCTGCTCTTTGGTTTTTGCGGCTGCAAAGATTATAGCGTCGTTCATTTTATCAATTCTAGTTTTGTTATAGTAAAAAATTTTCATAAATAATCACATCTAATTTTTTTACTATAGTAAAAAATTTTCACATAAAATCACATCTCAACCTGAATTAAAATTTCGAATCAGTGAAGCCTCCAAAATCACGTCCATCATCAATGAGAAAAATAAAGCAATTAGGCTAACTGAAGCGAACGTCCACGTGGTGAACTCTAAAGGGCTGTAGTGAAACAAGCGGACAAGTGGCGATGCACGAGAGGCTAAGGCACGCTGGAGCACGAAGAGCTGATGGAGCGCACAAGATAGGATCCAACACGCTGGTTTGGGATATAATTAAGCTGTAAATTGTCTTTTTCCCCTAATGTTTAAACACAAATGAGGATTAATAATAAATTAGGGGAGAAAACTAAATAAAATCAACTAAAATAAAATAAAATGAAACTAAAATAAAAATCAAATAAAACAAAGCCAATTTAGATGCGAATGAGGACATAAATAACTATTTTATACAATTATCAGTATAAAGGTTGGATCAATTTAGATTAGATATTTTAAAAGTAAAATTAATATCTAATCTAATCTAAGTCGGTTTTTAAGAATTTAAATTCAATTCAATTTACTTGAAGACAGTTATCTTCTAAAAGTGAATTAAATTAGATTGAGTTAGTCAGTTTAATCGGTTAATTGGACGCGATGAACGCCCCTATTTAAATGTAATGTGAATATTGTAACTTTTTTTTTCTCTAGATTGGACTTAAATGTAATGCAACTATTTTTGCAACTTTCTTTTCCCGAGGCATTAATGGTAATAAATGTGGGTTTAGGGATTTAATTAGCGGATCTTATTGCTATGCTAACAACGGTCGTATTTGTTTATTTATTTAATTTTTGCTAAAGTATATAACTCGTATTTAAATTCTAACAACGGTCGACATTGAAAAGGAAAAAAGAGTGAGATAATCTGCCTATTTTTCGTTTATAAGATTATTCAATGGAATTAAACTACTATTCATAGTGGTCCAAAATCTTTCCTGAAAAATTTCAATCGAATTAATTGTGATAAATTTTGGTAAAAATTCTTTAATAATTCTACGCTCTCTATAGTGTTTGGGGCACACGCGCGAGGAAATCCATGGCGCGTGTATTGACGAGCTGAAAAGTAAAAGAAAGTCGGCCGTGTAACGGACGACGACGTATCACCCTCGGGAAAGCAATTGAAGAAGAAAAACCCAAAAAAGCAAAACCGTCAATGTTGCCACGTCATCAGATAATCGTCCTCATCAACATCGCCTTTTTAATTTTCATTTTTCTTTTCACTAGCGTCCAAAAAGGTAGGGTTTTGTTTAAAAAACCTTTTTTTTTCCTTTTCAAGTTTAAAAAAAAAAAAAGAAAAATCACTGCCGGAAAACAAGTTGCTGAGTCGACTCAGATTCAACTCGGTGAGTTCTTCACGAAACTTTAAATAGTTTTTGCTTTAGTCTTGAAATAGGAAATAGAAAATAGATAGAAAATGAAAATGGATATGGATATGGGATAATAATGGTAATTTCTTTTTAATTTTTTTTGGTGATTTTTGAAATCGATTTCTTTTTTGGGGGTCCATGTTCTTAAGCTGTACGGATCATTGATGAACAGTTACTCAGTTACTTCAGTACTGTTATTCGATTAAAGTTTGAAACTTTTGTAATATTGTCATTTTCTTAGATTCTTAGATTTTTTTTTTTTGTTTATTTATGTAAATAATATTTGCTTGATTAAGTGCTATTTAAATGTTAGTTTATATGCTATTTGTTGTTCTGTTTAGATTAAGTGCTTAATTTGTTGATTAATTTATTAATGGAATACGAAAGAGTGATGTTTGATGAAATTGACTTCCCAAGCTATGAATTCATGGACTTTTTCCGAGCTAGTGGCTGCATTTCTTGATCTTTCAATTGCCTATTGTTTGCTTTGCGCATCGGCTTTTGCGTTTTTCGCCTCGCGGTTTCTGGCCTTGTTTGGGTTGTGCCTGCCATGTCCATGTGATGGACTATTTTGGAACCCCAGAAACAACAGCAATAGGCAACTAGTGGATTGCCCTTATGAAAAAATATCTTCGGTTTACTTCTCTGTGAAGAGCAAGTTCCCATTCGATTCAGTATTGGGCGGCGATGAGCAGAATGGAAACTCGCATTTGAAGTTGGAGAATGAGGGAAATCATGGTGAAAATGGGGAATGCGGGACGTCTAGTAGCTCCTCTCCGGGGACTCGGTTCCACGATTTGGTTGAGACGGATGTGAAACGTAAAACAGGTGCTGAGTTTGGCGCGGTGAATTTTGAAGGTTCGAAGGAAGAAGAGTACGGAGCTGAAGGTCAGAGGGTTGTGGAGCAGAGGCCAAGACATGGTCTGCGGCGTCGTCGCAAGGGAGGAGGCTCTGTTAATTATGGAAAAGCGTCCTTTGTTTCGTCGTATGACACATTGCAGTCAGATGCGCGGAACATTCCTCAGTCTCCTCCCAGCATCAGCAAAATGGGGAATGAGGTTTCTGAAGACCCTAATGATTATGGCGGTAATGCTCATTATAGTGTTTTGATATGAAGCTAGCATTTCCTTTCCATCTTTGGAGTAGTTAACCCCCATTATATAGATCGTCACTCGAATTTATATTTCCATATATGCATGTTTATTTACATCTCAGAGCTACTAGCTTTATTGGAAAACAGAGAATTTTATTTCTTCCATTTAGACTTGTCATTATTAGCTCTATTGTAAAACCAAAATATTCTGTGATTTCTACGATTTAGACTTGTTTAATAGTTATAACTATTGGTTGCGGATATATTACAGCCTTCGAAATTGTTCCAAATACCAAGTTAAAAGGTGATTTTGAAGTTTAGCAAGATGATCTAGTTGGTAAATTTAGGCACTTAAAGCTACTTATCATCTTTGTTTTCTTTCTTTTTTTGTTTTGTTTTTTTTTTTTTTTTTTTGGCTTTTTCCTTTTAAGAGCATACATTATCTCTTCCCTTTTCCCTTGTATTGGATTCGTTTATCAATATAAGGAAGTTTTTCTTGTAAAGAAAGCTACTTTATAATCTTTTAAACATCTATTTTTCTGTTCTCTTTGCAATCTTTTCTCTCTCTTATATATATATATATATTCCTTTTTTTTTAAAATGAAGTTTTACCCTTAATGTTAGGGTTTTGATGTACTTTTGTTTATGCATCAGTGGTGTTCACTTCTATAGGATTTTTTTTTTTTTTTGAATGAATTGGAAATTTGGAAATACATTGTCATCACATGCTTTGTTATTTCTCCGCTCATTGTACTGATTTGTTTTCTTATGATAATAATTACCTAATTTCAGATGACAGAGAAGCTATAACAGCTTTTGGGTCTCTTGAAGGAGTTTCACTTGGTCTCGCATCAAATAATTCTAATGATGACTGTAAACACGCCGAAAGAGAAGCGGTATCAATTGAAGAATTAGGGCGTGGCACACAAGGGGATTTTGAGCTTGACAAAAATGAGAAAAATATGATTAGACTGTTGGAACAAGCACTAGAAGAAGAGCATGCTGCTTGTTCTGCTCTATATCTTGAACTTGAGAAAGAGAGAAGTGCTGCTGCTAGTGCTGCAGATGAGGCCATGGCCATGATTTTGCGCCTACAAAAGGAAAAGGCTTCAATAGAGATGGAGGCAAAGCAATATCAGAGGATGATAGAGGCAAAAGCTGCTTATGATGCTGAGGAAATGAACATTCTCAAAGAGATTTTACTTAGGAGAGAAAGAGAAAAGCATTTCTTGGAGAAGGAAGTTGAAGCATGTAGACAAATGATTGTGGGAAATGCTCAATCTGATTCTGACGCGCAAGATGTTGCTGATTTGCAAGAGCTGACAAATTCTGCTATTTATTCAGGAGAGGACCCAATCTTGTTGCTGCAACAGTTAAATGAATCCATCGAGAAGCCAAAGTTGAAAGTTGCAAATAGTTCTTCATATTATGAGGCATCATCAGTTGAGACTCGGAATTATACTCTTGCTTTGGGGAAAGA